CTGTAAATTTGCTTCCGCTCTGGAATGCCATTCCTTCTCAGATGACGTCAGTTTGATGGACTGAACAGAATATCCTTAACCTCAGCCCTCCAGCCGTTAGTGAGAGATGGAGAGGAGCTGCGCTAAAATAAACCCCCATCCTCTATTCAATGTTCCATTTCAGTTGGAAATGCATCACAATACTGAAGTCGGCAGCAACATCTGGTTCACATGGACTTTACACAGACTCTAACCTGAATCTTAAAGTGATCAAATCATGGACAAAGGGATTTCTCCTGTTATTTTGTAATGTGAGTTTTATGTATAATCTAGACATACTCCATCATTCACAATTAAAATACCTTTTCCAGCACAGTCCACCCAGATCATTTAAGAAAACCAAACTGCAAAAGCAACTCATCTAATCACCACCATAGGCTTATTATATGACCACAAACATTTACATATCAACACATATCTAGTATTCAGCAACTTTAATGATGAACAACTGTATAAACTATGCTGGTAAGCTTATGTTACCCTTGTGAAAAAGAAGTACACTTTAGCATATTTAATAAAATTGCATGCTTATTAAATAATATACTTAAAAATGAGTGCGAAATGAATGATTTCAGATACTTAATTGCATCTAAATTGCGTTTACATGAAAATTGTTATAGTTTAAATTTATATTAAATGCCATTAAACTTCAAAGTGTTTTTTGACCTAGTTACGTAGGACTTAAGTAGGCTCTATATGTAATAATATCATAATTCTATTGTCTTTGAAATATGGTTTAAGTGTACTGCTGAATGCACTGACCAGCATTAATGGTAAACTAAAATATATTTTAATGTAATTTCTATTGAAACCTGGGTCACACTTTACTTTAAGGTCCAGTTCTCGCTTTTAACAAACCATTAACTACAACTTTTGCCTCAATAATCTCCTAATTTGCTGCTTATTAATCGTTAGTAAGGTAGTTGTTAAGTTTAGGTATTGGGTAGGATTTGGGATGTAGAATATGGTCATGCAAAATATGTGCTTCTATAAGCCCTAATAAACAGCCAATATGTTAATAACAGGCATGCTAATAAGCAACCAGTGAGAATTGCACTAAAGTGTTACTGAAACTTGTATGTTATGTATTTAAACATTAGTAATTAGACTTACGTGGCCTTTTATTTCTTTAATATTCTATTATCTACAAGTACAGTTTTTTAGTTTACTTAATATACTTATCACTCTTTACAAGTGTATTTTTAGGCCTTAAAGGGGTCATATGATGCGTGTATGTTATGTATTTAAACATTAGTAATTGGGCTGTTTTGACCCAGCGGTTGGGTTAAATGTTTAACCCAACCTCCTGGGTAGTAACCCAACCGCTGGGTCAAAACAGACCAATTGCTGGGTTTGTCCCTATTTTACCCAGCACTGGGTTGTATTTAACCCAGCATTTTTTAGAGTGTAGACTTACGTGGCCTTTTATTTCTTTAATAATCTATTATCTACAAGTACAGTTTTTTAGTTTACTTAATATACCTATCACTCTTTACAAGTGTATTTTTAGGCCTTAAACTAAGTGTTTGTATGTTTTTATAATCATGTCATTAGGATAACGGTATAATAACTATGAAGCTGGCGATTATGGTAAGGGGCGTTACATTTCCGACGCGTGCTTGTTGTGTTCGGCCAATCACAATGCACTGGTTCAGCTGGCCAATCAGAGCAGACTGTGCTTGTCGGAAGGAGGGACTTTGTAGAAAACTAAGCGTTTGAGAGAGGCGGGGCATAGCCTACCTACAATAATGTACAGTATTTGAAAAATAATGTGTTTTTTGAACATTAAAGCATGTCAACATATTCTGTTACACCAAATACACAAAATAATGATCTTTAAAAAAGCATCCTATGACCCCTTTAAACTAAGTGTTTGTATGTTTTTATAATCATGTCATTAGGATAACGGTAAAATAACTAGAGGAATTTGATGTTTGAGCTACAGTGACCTCTCTATATCACACAACACCATGATGCTTCACTCCAACAGACCGAGGAAGTCAGACAGCACTGAACATCACTGATCTGTTCAGGAGCTTTGCACACAGACATGTATTCAATCAAATCATCATTAACACATCAGCACAGCACAACATGACTGACAGCCAGTGAAGATCCAGCTAACAATAACCTGCACTTTTAACTCAGTTAGACGAGTGTGTGCCATTGTGCGAGTGTATCTACTGTACTCAAAAAAACTATTCAAACAACACTACCACATTTGATTGTTAAATTCAGAAATTGTGTTTTTAAACGCGCACTGCTGTAAAATCTCAATACAGAGCAGATTAGTTTCCAACACAATTAAAACCAATATAATGAAACACAGACTGACCAGTGGCATGTTTATAGAACCTGTCTATTGTGTCTTTCAAATTAAAAAATGCACACAAGCTTAACACTACACTAACTTGTTCTGTATTAATTATCTTATAAGCACAAATCACCACATCAAAACAGCCATAAATACTTATATATCTTTATAACAGTCAGAGAAAAAAAATACTATAAATAGATTATAACTGCAGCCAGCCAGAAACAGAAATCATAAGTTAAGACATCACCTTAGAGCTATATCAGATACAGCAGAGAACTTCTGCTGGTCCTCTCAGTTTCCCAGTGCGCTTCTCACACACACACACACACACACACACACACACACACGCACACACACTCACACACACACACACACACACTCAGCAGAAGGACAGTCCCTCTCAGGGGAGCTCTGTGTCTTGATATCTTTCCTCAGCCTTCTCCTTCCTTTCCTCTATTTTTGTTTCTTTCTCCTGTTTTCCCTGTCTTCCTCTCATTCTGGTGTAGCTCCAGGCTGCTTTGTCCTTCTCTGACCTGCTCCAGTTAAAGCTTCCCATCAGGCCCAGAATTTCTGATTGCCCACGGGCCAGAAAGAACAAAACGAGAGAATGAAAGACTAAGATAGAAATAAACTCACAGCCCTGAAGAGCAGAAGCACTGCTGCCTTTTCTGCCAAAGATTGAAAAGGACAAAAAAAAGCTTCTTCATCTGTTGCGTTTTTGAAGAATAAGTGATAGAAAATTCCTGAGTGCTGGGAAGTGAGCACAACATGCCTAAAATCCCCCGACTCTCTACATAAACGATACAGAAAACATACATTTATAGTGTCACTCTAAAGCAGTGTTTCTCAACCTTTTTGACTACAAGGCCATCCATTATTCAAGACCTTTAAAGACGTTCATCATTCAAAGCCATGTAGACTCAAATATTTTTGGAGCTGCTGTAATGATAAATCTGCCTACTTACAGAAACGAGGAGTGGCAGTATAATAAAAGACCTAAGTAAATTCATTTTAAGTACATTTAAACAGCTACATTCCGTAACTACAGAAGTTTTAAGAACCAAATGTTCTTCAGAGTTCTTTATGGCCTATGAATTTGCATGTCTTTTCCAATGGCTTGTGAGGATGGGATAAGACATCTTCATGTTTAGCTATTTTAGCTTATTTTAAGGGTGTTTTAATCCATCTTTAGCCCCCTTGGAAGTGTGCTTAGGTCTCCTAGTGGCTCCTGACTTCTGGCTCCCTATTTGAGAACCACTGAACTAGAGGATGACCACAGAACATTTCTTATTCCCTCGCTGCCTCCTGCTGGCTACAGACGTAAATACATTTTTAACTTTTTAGTTTTTTGCATAAATTGTGGCAGTCTGGGAATTAAGGGTGGACCAGTGTGGATTCAGGAGCTCGTTGACACAGTGTACAGTTTTGTATGAAGTGAAATGTCTGACATCACAATACCATTCTATTTTCTTACTTTCTGTAACATCCACTTTCATGGATCTAATTCCAGATCGATAAAATCAAGTCTCATTCTACATCTTTTCCCCTTCAATATGAGATTCACTCAAAAATCACATTACAAATGTAAAATAGGTTGGGTCTGTCAATTCAAATTCAATTCAATTCATTATTGTTTTCATATGGCTGCCCTTGTGTGAGTACTTGTACTTCAAAATTTCAAAGTTTTAAAAATTGTACTTGCAGACAATATAATATGAATGAAATAAAAGGCCACTTAAGTGTACTTAAGGAAAGTACATTTGTTTCTTAACACACTTAAGTACACTTTTTAAAAAGTGCACTTTGTAATACTGTATTACTTTAAAGTATGTCTTAAATAATTGTTTCAATCATCTTTTGTCGTGTTTCAAGGAAGTGCGCTTATTTTGATGTATTGACTAACATGCTAAAACACATTTAAAGTACTTGATTCTAGTTTTAACTGTAGTGTGTTATTTGATATTACATTTAAGGTTAATATATACATACATACATATGTCCACCTGAGATTTTTTTCTTTTAAATGAGCATTTTTATCAGGCTCCTATGAAAATAACATTGGACATTTTTTAAAATAAAGCATTCAATAAATGACTAATAGCCTTTTCTTTGCCATTAAAGTGAAATTACTGAACCTAAACATAGGAGCCTGACAAAAATGCTCATTTAAAAGAAAAAAGATTTTTCAGGTTTTTCTTTATATATATATATATATTTGTATATGTATTACATTGCAACTTAATCATTACAAATGTGTAATTACAAATATATTTGACAAATACATGAAAAAGATATACTTAAGTCCTACGTAGGTGGGTCAAAAAATACTGTAAAGTTGAGCTAATAGCATTTAATATAAGTTTATGCACTTTAATATAATATAAGCACTTACTGTAAGTTTATTATTTTATTAAAGTGTATTACTTCCATAATAAGCACTCTTTTTAAAAGTATGCTAAAGTGTACTTCTTTTCATAAGAGTGGTAATAATCTGACAGTGTTAATAATCCTAATTTATTTTACCGATATTCAAGTTTCCACTTGCCTAATTTACACAATAAATTAAACAAAACAGATACATACAACTTCCAATCATGGTTGTTCATATAGGTGTCACTGCTATACTCTCAGTAAACTGTCATACCTCCCACAGTCTCCTAAAGTCCTTCTGCTCAATCCGCAGCAGTTCACTGAACTCTCGGGTGACAATGGTGGCGTGCCGCGGCGTGTTGTCCAGAATAGACTCTCCGAAAGCTGTGCCGATGCCCAACGTACAGATGGTGACAGCATCCTTAACATGAAGAGAAACACAGGTCAGAGCCAACTCTTTCAGAGAGGAAGAGATGAGAAGAGAGGAGTCATATATAAGCCATCTGAGATGTTTCTGACTGAGAGACTGATGCACTTCCACTTAGATTCAGGCCTTTCTCAAGGACAACACACAGAGAAAGAGAGAGGTCAGCTCATTTGTCCCTAAGGTTTGTAATGTAAGACGCAGATCTGTTAGGAGTTGCTCTAGTTTTCTGCTGCGGTCTATAATAAGCACCTGCACTCAATAAAAAACGTCCACTGTGAGCAGCTGAATATAAGATCATATTCGTTTTCACTTGGGATGGGAATCGTAAGTCTAGTTCCAGTTCAGATTCTACCTAGCAACTAAAAAATAATTCCAGTAAAGGTTTTTTTTTTTTTTGCTCACAACACAAGCACAGAGAACAAAAAGCAACTGCTAAAGAACAGAGAGACAAATGAGGGACATTCAGCAAACTGAACAGAATTTAGCTGACACTCTTTTGAGTGCTCCATCTCCTCTCATAATTGTCTTGTACCTAAATATAACTCCTTTTAGGTGAGATACTGTACGTCTAAGGAGACCTGTTAATGTGATGTAATAACAGTTATGTAAATGATGATTTACATAACTGTCCTTGATGAACTATAGTGAATGTGTGAGTATGCGTATGCTCTATTATCAAGTCAAATTTATTTATATAGTGCTTTATATAGCAAGATTTATACAGCAATACACTGTTTCAAAGCAGCTTTACAAAAAAATCATGTTGCTAATATTTATAATATTTTAATATCTTCATGTATTATAGTCACATTTAGCAGATTAGAGCTATGTGATAATAAATACAGCTTACATTTTACAACAATACATGCGATCAAGCAGTTTCAGATCTGCTATATGGTACATATTGCTTTACATTAGTGTTCTGTACATATGCAGATGAAGTTGAACATACTTATATATCCAACTTTACATAAAGAGCTGTTTGATAATATAGTTTTCATTTTGCAACAATATACGATTGCAACGATAAACAATCAAGCAGTTAAGATTTTCTATATGTGACGCTGGAGCACAAAACCAGTCATAAGTAGCACAGGTTTATTTGTAGCGATAGCCAGCAATACATGGCATGGGTTTTAAATTATTGATTTTTCTTTTATGCCAAAAATCATTAGGATATTAAGTAAAGATCATGTTCCTGTCAGACTTTTGGACCCGTTTTGCCCCCGTAGTTCTTCCTGTGTTTCCTTATTTGGTCTTTTTCCTGTTCTTGTTTAGTTTGATTGCTTTATGATTCCATGCACCTGTGTTCCCCTGATTGCCCTGTGTATATTAGTTCCTGTCTGTTCCCTAGTTATTCATCGGGTCTACTTGTTGGATGTCGTGTGTTTCCCGTGTTCCTCTTGTGGATTTTCCCCCGTGATTCAAGTATTAAAGACTGTTGAATGTTTCTCCGCGTCTCCATCGTTCCTCCCACAGCGAATCGTGACAGAAGACCCGACCCAAACCGTTACCTCCGTGTGTCCACCCTCCGTTTTTGTTTCCCATTTTCTCTCAGTGTTTTTGTTTCCGTTGTGTTTTCCTTCATGGATGCCCTCCTTCGCCCGGAATATCTCCTCCTTTTGCTGGAGCAGGGGGAAAGATCTCTCGAGGACCATACGAGACTGTTCCGGCTGTTAGCTAGCAGCACCAGCTACCCGGACGACGCAATCTGCTCATTCTATGATGCATGCTTGAACACCGCGAGCAGAGCGCCGTCGTCCGAAGATGGTCCTCGAGAGGATTTCGCCATATTTGTGAAGTGGATTCTGGCAAGAAAAGGATTGCCTCTCACTGTCTCGCCTGAGGATTATCTCGCCAGTTCCACTCCAGACCCAGTGCCCAGCCCACCATCTCCCCGCGGTGCGGAGCATCAGCCCGAGCCCACCGATGACGGAGAGCCCATTACCGCCGCGATCAACGAGCCAGTGCAATGCCGAGCAACTGAGCGGAGGATCGCCCCGGATGTGAAGCCCCCCCCGTCAGACCAGGTGCGAGAGCCGGCGACAGTGCCCACCACGAGGGAGCAAGCCGTGGACGGTGCCCACTCCGCCCACTGCACCGCGGCTGAGGGTGAGCTTATTGTGCATCTGGGACTGCTGGACGTTATTGACTGGGAAACAGATCTGGAGACCGACTGGCCCCCTCTCCTCTCTCCTTCGTCCCCGCTGGTCCCGTCCAGCCCTCCTTCGTCTCCTGTTCCCATGTCCAGTCCAGAGTGGGCTCCCGTTTCCCAGTCCAGCCATGAGAGTTGGCTGGTTGGGGCTGCTGTCGTCTGGCAGCCCTTCTGCTCGCCCTCAGCCCACCATCAATACGGTGCGAGCGCCGCGGGTCTGCCATTCTCCATCGTCGTCCACCAGCTCCACCGGGCTCCCTCGTCCCTCCGGCTCCACCTTGGCAGGGCTTCGACCCGCCATTGCCTCAGGACTCTGCTCCTCTGGCTGCACCTCGCAACTCCGTCCCACCGGCTCCGTTGGGCTCTTTCCTCCCGCCAGCTCCACCTTGGTTCTCAGTCGCTCCGGCTCCGCCGCGGATCTCCGGATTCCGGACCCTTATGACTAGTTTTGTGGTCCAGGGTCAAATATAGTAAATACTAAGTGAGAGTACTGTATGCATGAGAATAAATCTGGATATACTTATTGTAGTTGTTTAGATCATTATCAATTATTAATTCATTAATCTAGTTATTAATTTGTTATGTGGTGATATTGAGGATTCTGAAACATATGAAGTTAAACGATGCACATAAATGAAAAGCCTAAAATGTTAATATTATCATTTCTTTGATAGTTCAGACCCATGATAGCTCTGTTCACTATCATTTAAAAACAGAACTGACATGACAACGTACCTGATGGTTTGCAGTTTCTGAGACTTTGACATCTAGGGAACCGGACAGGACGGTGTACCAGTTAGTGCCAATGTCACCCTGCCTGTACACTAACACACACACAAACAGAGAGAAGGTAGTGCCCTACTGAAAAAATCATATCATTACACTAGACCCAGTCACGATGCAACCTTGTGTGAAGTAATTCTGTGAACAAACAATGTTTTCACATCATATGTAGGCATATGTGTGTGAGCGTGAGTGCATGTGTGTGTGTGTGTGTGTGTGTGTTTGACTGACATGTGATGCTTTTCTCCAGACACTCGTAGAAGCCACACAGACAGATCTGCTGAAGTAGTGCAGGGTGGAACTTCTCAAAGGCCTTCACACTTTTCAGACGGGCCAAGATAATGTCCACATCCTCCCCCGAACGCTCCTCCGGTCTGCATACACAGAAACACACATACAAATCAAATTACAGCGATAGCTGACTCATTATTTGCTCATTCTCATGGCTTTTTTTTGTTTGTGTGTGTGTGTGTGTTTTGCACTATGGTGGAGCTGGTCTGTTTAGAAGTCTGATTATAAACCAGAGCACATTGGGTACAACCGAGCTAAAGGCATACCTTAAAGGAGTAGTTCACTTTCAGAATGAAAATTCTGTCACCATTTACTCACCCCCCACTTGTTCCAAACCTGTATGAGTTTCTTTCTTCTGTTGAACACAAAATAAGATATTTTTAAAAATGTTGGGATCTGAACAGTTGATGAGCACCATTGACTTCCATAGTAGGAAAAAAAAAATACTATGGAAGTCAATGGTGCTCATCAACTGATACATTTTTCAAAATATCTTCTTTTGTGTTCAACAGAAGAAAGAAACTCATACAGGTTTGGAACAAGTGGGGGGTGAGTAAATGGTGACAGAATTTTCATTTTGAAAGTGAACTACTCCTTTAAGGAAAATATGCTTTTCACTATTCCTATAGTGTATGATTGCAGACAAATTAATCGAGCAACACGTTCTGTGTTCTTAAAATAAATTATAAGTGATTTGTTTTGGTAAAAAAAAAAAAAATCATGTATATATATGATGAGGGGGCCTTTTACCCCACACTCAAGGCAAAACTCACCCAGTATTTATCCAAAAACTATTTGTAGACACAATAAAGTAATGTGTTATGCATAATATCTAAGTTAATAATTGTTCAAAACTTCAGTTTGTACTATTTTCTGTTTATTTTGATAAATAAAAGCATTTTTGTTCAAAATATACACTGTCATTGAAATATGTTCATTTTATGAATATAGATTTGATGATGATGAATATAATTGTTTTTAGCTTTATTTTTTTTGTTTTCATTTAAATGTTTAGTTTTGAAATGTTGTTGTATGCATTTGTCATTTTTATTTAATTTCTTTTATTTTCTTAAATGTGTGTATATATATAGTATTTATAGAGTTTTAGCTTTTAGTTTTAATTACTTTTTCTTATTTGTAAGTCGCTTTGGATAAAAGCGTCTGCTAAATGACTAAAAGTAAAGTAAAGTAAAGTAAGATTTTTTTTTTAAAGGCTTGGAGGAGGAGATCCCATAATAATTTAATATGTCTTTACAGTAGTAACAATACATCTATTTGATTATATGATGGTTTCATTATATCCCAATGTATTACCTCAAATGCATTTACTTCTGTTATTGAAAAACTTGATTTAATTACCTCGAACAAAACTGAAAATCATTATCAGGACCTCTGTCTCAAAATATATTTGGTATTTTAATGGATTCAGGTGCATTAAATATTAGATCAAATTAGCTTACAATCAACTTGTACTTGCAACTGCTGGCAATTGTGTCAAGAATCAGCTAAATTGAGTTTTTGTGCTAACTACTGATTTTTTTTTTTTAAATGTGCCTTTTATCCCAGAGCACCTTTAGCCATGTGCTTTAACCTGTGTACTATACTGTGCTAATGCAGTGAGCTAAATAAATAAGATCATTTGAGGGTTTATAAATGTTTAGGGGACCCTTGACTGCTACTGTCACTTGAAGCGGTTCAATATAGCAAGTCTGATTTATTCAACAACACCCCAGAGAAAGAATGCTCATCATCACAAAACACAACATCATACAAAACAGTAAATCATGAGGTACTGTACAGTATGTGACACAAATCTAGTGGTGGAACGATGGGATTTTGATGAGCAATGCTCTAAAGTGCAGGTTGAACAATGGCCAATGCAATGTAGATACTGTAAGTACTTTTTAATGCAACAGCTCTGGCTAAGCAGAATGACACCGAGATCGATCACACGTGAATGTTTAAGGTTTAAGCACTGTGGAGTAATGGGATATTGACAGTATCGGCCTATTAACACCTCACACAATCACAGAGCAAGTCAAGCAAAACACTGCAGCCTTAACATGTCTTGCAAACTAAAGAGGTTGACGTTTGTGTGACCGTATCGCCCAATTGCTGGGTTTGTCCCTATTTTACCCAGCACTGGGTTGTATTTAACCCAGCATTTTTTAGAGTGACTCAGAAAATGGCATGATCAGTCATGCATAGCCAGAATGTTTAATATTGACATCAAATAAAAATCTGGCAAAAGCTTTGGAATTAGGTCTTCTACAAAGACATTCAGTGTATCAACCTTGTAAATGCAATTTTATTTCCAGTGATAAAAATCTAAAATTGCCCTTCCTTTCCTTGTTTAGTGTGTAATATGCATCCGACAGTCAGTGAACAGACTGAAACTGAAACTACATTAAATTTAAAAACGAACATATTAAATATAAGATTAAAGCTGAAAATTTAGACTTTATTTTTAAAAAGGTGTCTTGCACATGTCTACTTAGAGGTCAGACACACCTGTGCAAACAATATGTGATCATGTGCCTGTGTGTCTGAGGGTGTTTAACAGAGACTAAAAATCCATTTACTATGCAAACAGTTCTACATCAAAACCTAAATAACACTGTCAATGTGACCAGGATGTTTAACCCAAAGGTTTTCATCAGAACAACACAGTTTGAATACAAATTCTCTCCATAGCAAGTATTACTGCTCAAACTAAAGGGTTAATGATTTACATTTACTATGCAAACAGTTCTACATCAAAACCTAAATAACACTGTCAATGTGACCAAGATGTTTAACCCAAAGGTTTTCAGCAGAACAACACAGTTTGAATACAAATTCTCTCCATAGCAAGTATTACTGCTCAAACTAAAGGGTTAATGATTTAACAAACTCCTAGCTTCAGGGCATTTATGGAGATCCTCAAATTCTTCTCCATTTCTTCTCAATCTTAGTTCAAGACTTGCATTTTGAAATAGTACAAAACTAGAAGGGCTGCACAATTAATCGAATATCTAATCCCAATTACAATTATGGACGCCACAATTACATAATCATTCAAAGCAGCAATTAATCGTTCAAAGTCCACTTATGTTATTCTGCATGCTTAAGATGCTTTTTTTTTCTCTTTCTACATGTTATCTTGTTTTCATTTTAGTTTTAGTATAACATTATAACACCATGCATATTTTTACCTTTTTATTTAAAGAGAAACCAATCCGATGTATAGTTGACATTTGAGGCTTAATACTATAGAATAGCAATAAAAGTTTTTCAGTTAGTTTTTTCAGCTTGTTTATTTTCATATAAAAATATGGCATGCAGTTGCTTCAAACAAAGGTGTAAACATCATTCATTTCATCGCAAATGAATAATCGCAATTACAATTTCAAAGGAATAATCGACAATTATGATTTTTGTCATAATCGTGCAGCCCTACTTTCAGCCTCGATAGGCAAATGTATGACGTTCATATAATTCAAACAGCAATCAATATGTTGTCGTTTGAGTCAGAGGGGAAAAATCTGGACATTGCTGTTATGCATCTATGTCTCCATCAAAACAATGTCAGGTGAAACGAGATAAAGACAGGAATGGAGAGAGATGAGTACTGGCACATTTACTTTTTTCAACAGACCTATATTGATCTACAGCGAGATGGAGCCATTCACTGGAAGAGCAGGTCGGAGCCCATTAGAGTGTGTCATAAATACATTACACACAAATCTCTGCTCTATCTTTGATAACGAGACTGTAATGTTTGTTAACTGCTTTAAAATGTTGGAGATGTCCTGTATCTATCATGGGCAGAGTCCAGACACTCACAGTATAGCTATTACTACAAATGAAAAGTCTAATGTGTAAAAACGTTTAATTCTTCAAGAGATTGTTCAACCAAAAATGATCTGTCATCTGTCTGTCATCATTAACCTTTGTGTCATTCTAAATCTGATAAACTTCTCCTTTTGAGTTCCACTGAAGAAACACATGTGTAGGGGTTTGCTATGACATGAGGGTGAATGGGTTTTCATTTTGGGGTGGACTATTCCTTGTTACTAAAGCCCTTCACAGCAGAAAGTGTCTCTTCATACGTCTGCAGTAACACAAGCACTGCAGCACTGGTGGCCTCCTCCAGGTGACAAACAACCCTTTACAGACTACACTCAGTGCACTTCAATTCACCATCTACTGCATTCACAATCAAAGCAGCGAAAGACGTGAAGCTTGCAATGAATCCATCTATCATCTGAAATCTATCGGGCTGAGAATGAAACGCTGCATCTGAATGCATACTGTAGCTACATCAATCACACTAACAATCGCATTTGACATTTATGGCATGCAACTTACATTCTAATATTGTTTAACAAATCAAATGTGCTTGAAACGTCTTTTGCATGAGGCACTGCTGTGCAAATTATTGCTGAAGGTAGACCAGAACAACAGCATTAGGACAGAAGAATGAAGTTTGTGCAGGGTAAATGATGGTACCTCTTATCCAGACAGATGATCCACTCGGCAGAAGCGGACGGGTGGCAGGAGGTGTGTGCCGCGACCATCTTCGGTGAAATCATGGAGTAAAATTACAGTTCGCATCGTCCGCATGCACCTGATCATGAGCAGATGTGACTTTACTGAGAGCGATCGAGTTTGAGTCAGACTCTAAGCGATGCTGCTGCCGCCCACTGAGCTGACACAGCGCGGAAACACACCGGGGCTAGTTGTCACAAGCGCTGTTTTGAGACCATAGACTGGTACGTACACAGTGCCTATTTTCAACACTCGTTTTGTCGGAGTTTCCCAATATTATATAAATAAATGAGCACAATAAACCACAATAACATATATTCAGACAAGAATCAACGACATTTAATAGAAACCCAAAATGTCATAGCTCATGGCGCTCCATAAAACTTTCGTTCATCTTCGAAACACAGTTAAGATATTTCTAATGAAATCTAAGATATTTCTTCCACTTCACTCAAAGTCTACAACCAAAAAAAATGTACGATGAAAAAAAAACCAATAATAATTAAGACATCATAGATAGCCTAATTTATAAATCGAGCGGTTTAATCCAACAGAAAAGATCGCTTTATATGACTAACAGATTTAATTCAGGCTTTTACCCTGTGAAGCCTGATATACGAAATAATAGCAATAAATAAATAAATTAATAATAATAATAAATTAGGGCTGTCTTCCAAAACCTCTGGGGGAGGAGGTGCGTCTGGTTCGGTGGATCCTGTGGTGGTAGGGGAGAAAGGTTTCAGGAGTGAGACGTGGAATGTGGGATGTATTCTGTACCTTGCCGGGAGTTGGAGCTGATACGTGACGTCATTGACCTACCTCTGTATTGGAAAGGGACCTATGTAGCGGGGACTCAGCTTTTTGCACGG